AACAGAGTTTGGCTATTATCCCTCATCGTTCCCTTCATGAAGAACGTATTGCATGTGATTTTTTTGTAATGAGCTGTTGAGTCTGACAACTGATAAACAAGATTATTACGTCAAGTGTTATACGAGTAGATACGGACAGAGTTTCTCTAATTATTTCGATAGTAGCCGAAACAATTAATTAACATATTCCTATCATCAATCTCATTTGTCGCGAAATTAGTTGGTTACTTCATGTTTCTCAAAAGTGTGTTATTATTTCTCAGTTCAAATGCCACTGTTATTCATATGAGCTTTTCGTTTTACGTTTGTATTATATTTGGAACAACAGGGCATACTATGTAGATTATTAACAGTTATTAACTCTTTCATCAGAAAAAGATTTTTACAGCTCAACGTTTAAGCTGTCAAGACGAGAAATGTCAGTAATAATTCATGATAACTTGTAATTCGTGAAAAAAAGGTGTACGCCACAGACTAGTACTCTGGCAGGTGCTTCCGTCGGCCCCGCCAGAGCAGCCGAGTACTCTCCCAATCGCCCTGCACCCCCGCCCTCCCATCTGGGCAGAGGCGCCCGTGGGCGGCGGCGGAAGCAGCCGTCACGTGTTGTGACGGGGAAGGAAGGTCAAGGCCGCGGTGTGACCTCCCATGACCCCGCGGCGGCGGCGGCGGCGGCGGCGGCAGTGGCTGCAGAGCGCAGCGGTCCATCCGACGGCACAGCGGCAGCCCATATGCAACCCCCCCACCCGCGCGCTCGCCGCGCTTCGCAGATCAATATTCGACCCGACGCCCGCCCGCCCCGCCCACCCCTGCCCGCCTGCACATGGCCCCAAGGCACCAATGTTTGTTTTTTAATTGATGTCACATTAGACCATTTTTATGCTAATAAACTGCCATTCAAACGTACTATATGTAAAACGTGTATATAAGATTAGTAATCTAAATATGTTCTTTTTACAGTAACCATTCAAACTTAAGTTTAATATCGTGAGTTTCTCCACCACTGCAAATACGTTTGAAAACAGGTCGCAGCTAGAAAAGGGCTGCCAGGCACTATACTCAATGGGGTATAAAATACACCCGATAAAGTATGTTTTAATGTTCAAATTACTATACCATATATTAATTTCCTGGAGGTTTATTGGTTTTCTACGAAAATTGGTCTTAGAATTTATGGTACTTTAAAGGATTATAGTTTCACAAACTGAGTTTGGACGTTCAATCATTGTATGATATTAGTACGTAAGATAGTGTATATATATATATATATAATATATATATAATATATATATATTTAAAGTCGAATGAAATAAGTTTTACCTCTACCACTACCGGTATGTATTTCTCCAAAATCTACAAAATTTTGTTATGAGAAAAATATAATCAGTCAAAAAATAGATTAATTGGCAGTTCTACCGAGCAAGTCTTTTTAGAATGCTTGAAACGTTATTTTTTATAGATATATTCTCTGAGACTTATGCAATACTGTGTTTTACATTTGCTAGTTGTTTCCAAGTTTTCTCCAACAACAATACGATGTACAGTATTAAGTATATTGTGTTTCCAAAGAAAAAGTAATTGTCAGCTGAGCGCCGCTGCTTGGGCGAGCAGGTGCAGCCCGCGCGCGACGAGCGCGTGTGTCCTGCGCAGCGCCACGCCCCCGCCACCGCCCTGCGGCCCGCCCCGCCCGCTCCCGCCCGCCCCGCAACGCCCCAGCGCCCTCGCCAACCCCGCACCCCCCGCACGGCCGCAGCCCCCGCACGCCCCGCACGCCCCGCCGCCCGCACGCCTCGCCGCCTCGTCCGCCCCTCGCCGCACCTCGCCGCTCGCCCGCTCGACCGCCCTCGCCCGCCTCGCCCGCTCGCCCCGCCCTCGGCCTCGCGCCCTCGCCCCGCCTCGCCCGCCCTCGCGCCCTCGCCGCCCTCGCCGCCTCGCCGCCCTCGCCGCCCTCGCCCGCCCATCGCCCCCTCGCCGCCCTCGCCCCGCCCTCGCCCGCCCTTCGCCGCCTCGCCCGCCCCGCCGCCCTCGCGCCCTCGCTCCTCGCCGCCCTCGCCTGCCCCGCCGCCCTCGCCCGCCTCGCCGCCTGCCCGCCCTCGCCCGCCCTCGCCCCCTCGCTGCGCCCTCGCCGCCCCGCCCGCCTCGCCGCCTCGCCCGCCCTCGCCGCCCTCGCCCGACTCGCCCGCCCTCGCCCGCTCGCGCCGCCCTCGCCGCCTCGCCGCCCTCGCCAGCCTCGCGCCCTCGCCGCCCTTCGCCGCCTCGCGCCTCGCCGCCCTCGCGCCTCGCGCCCTCGCCCGCCCTCGCCCGCCTCACGCCCTTCGCACCGCCTCGCCCGCCTCGCACGCCCTCGCGCCCCTCGCCCGCCCCCTGCCCCTCGCGCCCTCGCCGCCCTCGCCCGCCTCGCCGCCCTCGCCGCCCCTCGCCGCCTTCGCCCGCCTCGCCGCCCTCGCGCCTCGCCCGCCCTCGCCCTCTCGCCCGCCCTCGCCCGCCTCGCCCCCATCGCCGCCCTGGCCCGCCCTCGCCCGCCCTCGCCGCCCTCGCCCGCCTCGCCCGCCCTCGCCCCCTCCGCCCGCCCTCGCCGCCCTCAGCCGCACTCGCCCGCCTCCCGCCTGCCGCCTCGCCGCCGCGCCCGCCCTCGCCCGCCTCGCCCGCCTCGCCCCGCCTCGCCCCCTCGCCCGCCCTCGACGTCCCGCCGCCCCGCCGCCCCAACCGCCCCCGTGCCGCCCGCCCGCCCTCGCCCGCCCTCGACGTCCCGCCCGCCCCGCCGCCCCGCGCCCGCCTCGCCCGCCCCCACCCGCGGCTTTTTTAATTTTTTTACTTACCTCTCGTGTCATTAATATTTATACTAGCGGCAATTTCTTCACAGTATTATATTTATGAGTACAGGTGCCTCATACAACGTTTCATAAAGTTTCTTGAAAACTCAACAGTTTTCGATGAAAACTTGCTCAAAACTTCGCATTTTCAGAAACGCTCAAACGCCATTTTCTGAAAAAACAGGTACAATTTTTTTCTTCAAATACTTCGAATAGAAAGTGCTAATTCCACCCTTTAATGTGACGTAAAGTTCATTTCAGTGTTGTTGTTTTTTTCAAAAATTGCACAAATGTAATGTTTTTTAAAGATCTCTCACGTCAGTAATACGCATATTTCCAATAACTACAACAACACTATTGTATGTTTGTGTTAATATGCTTCAAATGACTTCAAATGAGTGTTTTTAGAAAACTCAAAAATTTTCTGAGAAAAAGTTCTTCAAATTTCGAATTGATTGCAGCCCTTAAGCGCTATTTTCTCAAAAATGGCTCGAAATGTTTCAACTAAAATTGTCATTTAGGTCGAGGATTATTTAGTATTCTTAAAATAATATTTACATCCTAATATTAGGAAACCCAAAAATTAAGAAACTTGTATTGAGGGTGGCGATAAATGGCAGCAGGCCAGAGTATGTTCAAATATCTAGCCGATACCATAGGAAATAGAAAACTAATACGGGAAAGTCAGTGCCACTCTGTAGCACCATTAATTTAAAACTCTTCCTCGAGTAGAGCAAAGGACGGTAAAAATCTTCGCTCACCATTTTCAAAGAATTGCAAAAAATTACATTGCAAAAGTACAATGTTGAAGGCAGAGATTTTCTCGTTATCTTTAATAAGATCTTTAAAAAATATCATTCACAAGTTTTTGAAAAATTAGTAGTTTTGTATGTAATTTCTGTTTTTTCTTCTTGTATCAGTCTCTTACGGTCTCAAATATCTAACTTTTGGGTCCTCTGAAATAACTACCATACATTTAGTGCATTAAAACGTCTTTTTGTAAATTTTTAATATCGAAATACAATAGTACTACAATAAGTGATATACAGTATAATACACTGAGGCGATAAAAGTCATGAAATAGCAATATGCAAATGTACAGATGGCAGTAGTACCTCAATGGCAATGCATTGAAGAGCTTTCATTTCTACTCAAGTAATTTATGTGAAAAAGTTTCTGACGTGATAATGGCCGCACCACGGGAATTAACAGATCTGACCGTTGTTTGGTCAGATGAGTTCCTGTTTTGTTTGGTAAAAACGGATGGGGTTGTTCGAGTGCGACGTAGTCCCACGAAGTTGTCAACAGGGCACTATACAAGACGATGGTAGATCCATAATGGTGTGGGCTGTTTTTACATGAAATGTACTGGGTCCTCTGGCCAATCTGAACCGATAATTGACTAGAAATTATTATGTTCTGCTACTTAGAGATAATTTGTCATCATTTGTCGACATTATGTTCCCAATCAACGATGGAATTTTTATGAATTTACAATGTAACGAGTCACCGGCCACAATTGTTCGCGATTGGTTTGAAAAACATTCTGAACAATTCAAGTGAATGATTTGTCCATCCAGATCGCCCAACATAAATCCCATCAAACATTAATAGAACATAATCGAGAAGTGAGTTCGTGCACAAAATCCTGCACAGCCAACATTTTCATAATTATGGACGGCAACAGAGGCAATATGGCTCAATATTTCTTCAGAGGGCTTCCCACGATTTGTTGAGTCCATGACATCTCGATCTGTGGCATTTTGCCGCCAAAAGTTTGTCTGACACGACATTACGAGGTATCCTACGACTTTTGTCACCTCAGGGTTCAAAAGAGCTGCAACATCTATTGATACACAAATCCCGAAACAATTTAAAATCAAATGCTATATTTCCTCCATGATTTGTGATATGACAACAAATATTCTTTGAAACAAGAAACATGATATTAATAACAACATTACAAAAGTTGTAGTACAGTCTGATGAATTTTGCACCCTATCAATAAATTTTGTATTTTGAGTGCAAAATTTTCAGAAGAATTTAAAATCGTCAAGAGAGAATCAAACTATTTTGTTAGAACGTTTGTAGAACAAGTTTTCCTCGCTTTTCTACGAGTCACATGTGGTAATATAATGAACTAGCATTGTCTACAAAAGTAGTGTTGAAAGCAATGTTTTCATCTGCTGCTTATATTCCATTAGATATTGAAGACGTTGAATGACATTTCTGTTGCTTTTTACCTCGCAGACAGCTTAGAATGACGCGCAAGTAGCCCCCCTCGGGGGCGGCCAGCCAGGCGACGCACGCCGCCCGGAGGCAGTCGGTGACGTGCCCCGAGGAGCGGTAGGGGAAATGAAAATCAAAGCTAAAGTCATTCGTGTAGTTTGAATGAATTGTGTTTCCCCACATTATGATTTCAGACATAATTTCAATGACTCCGGTCATAAATAGCATTTTCAGGTACAATTTTATTCTGTAACAAATGATGTTACGTAAAAATAATGAGAACAACCTTTAGATTGAACGAGAGCTACAGTACCGGCAGCGTATTAGTGAGTCTGACAGTTCAATGCGCTGTTGCAACGCATTACCACACATGGCACCACCCACATGACATAAATTAAATATCGAAACAACACTTACTGACTCCTCTTGATATCATGATCACCATAACCTTCGCCACATGTGAATCTTATCGCCTCCGCGACTTCGTGTGAGTCAGATGAGTGGCAACAATGAACGCTAGCTATGAGAAAGTAAACAAATCCTCGCAAGCTGGTTGCTTCAGATCATGAACATGGCAGCAGAACATGACGTGCCGTGGCGAGAGAAGTGTCAGGGTCGCTTAAACGTGCCGGTGCTGTGGATCCGCAGCCCCCACTTACGTTTTCGCATCCACTGCTGCTCGAGAGGCCCCCCCGCGTCTGCGCGTCCTTTCCTTGGCACCGAAGGCGTCTGGCACATGGGAAGTGCTCCCATCCCGATGGCGGCGCCCCAGATCCTCCTCGCTGCGCAGAATCGAGTTGCCTCTTCTGAGGCGCTGCATCTTCCTTAATGCGATGACGAGGGAGACGACGTTGCAGAACACCAGGCAACACACAGGGCCGAAATAGAAGAGGGCGGTGCCAGATTTATGTGTTTGTGGATTACTGACTCTTGAATCACCTTTGTAACAGAAGTTTTAAGACAAGGTAAAATACATTCTGTATTAATTTGAAATGAAGTACAAATCCAAAAAAAATGTGGCTATGTGGATTTATCAATTCTGTAAACAATCATAAAATGTAAATATGAGCATCAGTGCAGATGCTAATCGCTCTTATACTTACTTTTTAATTCTTGGTAGTAGTACAAAAGTTTGTAAAGGTTGAGCGATAATCCCGATATTTTGACAGAAAACTATACTGTTGGACTCTGATACCGCAAAACTGAATTTTTCTCGGATGCCACATATTGTATTTATTTATAAGTATTATATTAGTTTCTCAGAAACGTTGAGTGATTAGAATTGCCGTTTTGTAAGCTCCTCGTAAGGAAAATGAAGTTGCCGGCGACCCGACTGTCTAATTGTGAACACTACTCCCTAAACTGTTCACAGATACTTTACCAAAATTGATATTTCCTGAATGATGTCAGCAAAATTTCAGAGTGCTCCTAGGATTTTGGAGGAAACTTTGCATTAAGTCCTATTGACATTAACAGCATTTTAAAAAAGTAAACTGACGGGACTGAATTCGACAAATATTTCGACGTGAATAAAATAACTATTTGTGGAGAACGAATTTAATTTGAAGAAAAAATCTGTTTTTTCAAAATTGTAGTAGTAGAGAGAGGCCGAAAAAATAAAAGTTTTGCAATTTACGAAATTTCAGATTTAAGAGTGAAAACGAGACCGTTGTCACCTATATAACAGTCAGTATTTCACTCTATTCTTACAAGAAATTTAAAGAAAAAATGAAGCCATTTTGAGATTTTGAAATGACGTAGGAGCTTTATGTAAAGTACTCCAAAATGTAAAGAAAGTTCTTCAAAATCGTCTATTAGTGAATTGAACAAAATCGACTGGGACGTATTCATTTTGGAAAAAATTCTACCGTTTTTAGGCGCTAAAGCTGTTCACAGACTAACAGATGGACGACGGACAGACGAACAACGGACGGAGAGACGGACGGGCAGACGAACGGCGGGTGGGAGAGGCGGACAGAGAGACGGACGGAGAGGCGGACGGAGAGGCGGACGGAGAGGCGGACGGAGAGGCGGACGGAGAGGCGGACGGAGGGACTGACGGACAGACAGATGGGCGGAGGTATCTGGGGTGTCAAAAACCTTGTATCTCCGTTGAATTTTGATGTCGATATCCCTAGCAATACATAACTTTTACTTACACTACTTCTACTTATCCGCATATATGTACATTAAGCCAACCTAGATGGCCGCCGTAGCGCAATGGTCGGAAGGGTCGCGGTTGCGAGTCCCGCCGTGGGCATCGTTGTTTGTCCCTGGTCTTTCGTGTACGTGTTGCCGAGGAAGGTTTTTGAGACTTCTGACTGTAGATCGCATGTGTGTCAGTGTCAGGTGTAAAGGTTAATGCGATATGTGTCCCCCTGTGGGTACTCGGCGCGTATAATCGAAATCGGAATCCCATGAAGCTGGAAAATGCCCCAGAAACCAAAGGTGGTTTTTACATAGGTAAGAAAGTAAAGTATGGCATTTGCTCCATACATTGTTAAATTAAAAATAATTATGGTTTTAATTAAATTAATTATACTAACTGTTCCAAAAGAGTCGTTCGATGAAACACACTCTTGTCTCCATAAGTGATGGTCTGTACCATGGTTTACTTTCATGTGTGTTGCGTGTACCTTCTGGAGGAGAAAGGAAGGAGGACACCATTGTCATTGTGGCAGGAAGTCCCCAGGCAAAGGCAGAAAATAAGAGAACTTTCTTTCTTTTGTTTCTGCTTGGAGGCACCACCTGAAACCTAAAGGAAGGAAAGAGAAGCATGAGAATAATTACCCGTGTAAACCGTTTCCACCCCTTGTGCACGGCGTAGGACGTGCAAATACCATGTGAACGGCGATTTATGTGCCTCAAAGATGTGGAAAATGGAAAGCCACGCCCACACATCTGACTTCGCCCACACATCAGACCAGGGCTTATATATATTTTCTATGATTCTTAGTTATTTTGATTGGTTTCGACAAATTCACATTTATAAAGGTTTGAATATAAAAGCAACAAATGTCGATTTGTCAGTTTGTTTTATAGATTATGCAAACGTTAACTACAGAGATTACTACTGAAATATAATGGACACAGAAGAGAGCTGCCGCCATTTAATAAATTTTTGGAATAAAATCTTACCTGAAACCATGCGCCATGTTAATGCAGAGAGCCGTAAGCCAAAACCAGGCAGCCATCAGCAAAAAATACATTGAAAGAGCTACGGAAACGAAATTACAAATTGGTACATTACTAATGTTCGCAATTTTTAAAGCTGCAACGACTATATTTCGTCACGCGCCAAAACTCTTAACATAATCTGTATATGTCAGTAGACAAATTAGAGGTGCTTCAACAACTCATATTTCTTCCTTTTCTTTCTAAATTTTTAAATTTCGAAAATTCAGAGTTCAACGAAAACGAGAACTGTTCCATTGTTTTAATCGTTAATCTTGTCAATATGTGGAAAAACTAGAATAAAAGATTGAAGTAGTTTTTGAGATTTTTTATTAATTGCATGAATTTCAAGAACATGTTAGGCAGAAACGACATATCGCAAGCCATATTGCATGAAGCTCTCATTTTTTTTTAGCAAAGACGTTTTAGCAAAAAGAGACTCGGTGCTCCTAAGACATACTTTAGAATGTGTCGTTCGTACCAAGTGACATTTTGAGTGTACACAAGAAAATTAAGGTTCGTTTACGTTATACATTTATTGTGACTACTAGAAGTGAAAATGATTTCAACGTTAATTTTTACCAAAGAAAACGAAATATAAATATTTTAAACTCATTTAAACGATCTAAAAATGTGTTTCTTAAAAAGGTATTTTTAAAAGAAACATTAGCCAGTCGCAATCTAACAATAACAGACCATTTAAAAAGATTTGCTCTAATAAGCTACCATCCCTTTAGAAGCCACTTTCTTCGGAATATACAAAAATCTCATAATAAATGTTTGACTGAATACGATAATATACATGATGCAATTTATCAAGTAAAGTAATGTTAAGTAATCAACGACAAATTCACAAATGTTCGCTAAATAATTATAAATATATACCATGGAAAATACTTTTCACTTTTTAATACTCAGATGCAAATATTTCTGTAAGAATAAACCTCTGCTGGCACAGGAATGTCAGCCAATTGCTTGCAAGTGGTCAGAGACTAAAGCTGTGGGTTCGAACCCCTGTGAAAGAAGTCATCTACATTTGCTTTTATGACATGTGGAAAATTGTATGTCCCTCGAGTATTTTACCTTACCTTGAATCTTTATATATTTCCTATCTCTCACTGGTACATACGAGATCTGTGAATAATCTGGCTGAGTGCGTAATTGAGAACTCAAGAAATGGAGAAATTACAGAATCATTGAATCTCCACTGAATTGTGCCCATGTGTAGATATTTACAGAGAACCGAGTTCTTCCTTCTCTTCCTTCCAGGTGGCCTTGGTTCACTTAGACACCGTAGCCTCGACGGAAATAAAAGGAGAGTAATTAATATGAGAATGTATTTATTAGAACCATTTTTTTAACTTTTCCGGGAGCAATAATTGCATAATGAGATAAGGATGGTTAAAAGCATAGTAAGAATCCATTCAATGCCCCAATTACAGCTGAAAACATCCACCCCTTAAGAGAGATACGAACCCAAATCCTTTATGTAATGGGTAAAGGAGCACTTACCCGAATTGCTTCCATCACCATCCCGTCGCCGTTCCAAACATCTTTTCTCTTTAATTAACTCACCTAAATTTCTGCAACTTCTGTAGAGATCAGCGAAATTACTTGGTTGGTTGCTTATTATTATGTAAAACGCAATCTGCCCCGTGTTGAATCCAAAGAGGCACAGAGCGTGATTGAACAAGCACCATCCATGCACCTTGCGTCGCATGCCACTATCGCATGCTATTGATAATAGCACCACAGCCAGCAGCAACGCTGAGACCACGCAGAGTGGTCGGAGGAGCCAGAAGATGCCTTTTGAAATACGCGGAGTATCCCAGTAGAACACTCCTTCTTTTAAAGTACCGCTGCTTCGGTGGTGACTGACGCAAAATTTCCTGGTGGAGAAAAGAAAATCGCGATACCCATAGGATGCCAAACGAGCAGATTCAAGAGGCGCGAGGTAGAACGGCAAAGTGTTTACTGCGATCTTATAAGGAAATTCTGGATCCTTGTGGAACTCCTTCGCCAAAGAATTGATACTTAACCAATAGCCTTTATCGTCTTTTTCACACACCCAACTGTCTCCGTTCTTCACTAACACTTTTCCTTTCTGGCAATACACCTCAGCGCATTCCTCGTCATTACAAAATGTTCTGAAAACCAAAACAAAGGGTTCCAGAGGGGGTTCCGCGGCATCGACGCAGTATTCAGCTACCCTGCACTTGGTTGGCAGATGAGCGGGCCTTGCTATAAAATGCTCTTCCAAGAAGACGACCTGTGTCCTCCAGATGTTCTTGCTGAGAGGCTTGTGTTCATCCCAAACAGAAGATGTGTTTACACTCACGATATTTGAGAAATCATTCACCCAGTAAGGTTTGGGGGCTATCACACTACGAATGCTCTGCGGTAGAACCCCAGGCGGCAGCCAGTGCTGCAGCCACGCCTCGTCCAACGGAGGAACTATGTGACTTTTCTCGTCGCGTTTTATAGAAGCGGTTCCTGGCCAATCAGCCTTCACACATGTCTTGTTTGCGGAGACCATCTGATCCACCGCGCAGCACTTATGCACAAATATTCCTTCTTGATCGTTGAAAGAGATGTTCGCCATGAGCGCCATCATCTTTGTCAGGTACGTAGGCACAAGCATGGCTAGTGTCAACGTTTTCTTCCTGCTCACTTTTCACTTACGAGCAGCCTTCTCGTCACATATGCGCACCCCTCGCGAATAATCTTAACCAACAGCTGAGCAGTTCGAATCACGTAAGTGAAGGAACGCAAAGAGCGCCTTACTCGCGTGGGAAGGATCTCGAGCGAGGGCCGCGGCTGAGGGCAGACGAGCGACGTGGCCGCGCGGAGGCGTCCGCTGCGAACACTGACGTGTGTTCGTCGAGGATTCTCGAGCACACGCGGATCCATCTTGACTGGCAGAATGGGAAACCGCGCTCTATCAGCGATACGTATCTTCAGGATGTGGTATACCTTTGCAAAAGTGCAGTTTAGTTTCCTGCAGAAAATTGTATAAGTGTATTTTTATATTAGAGCTACTTTTGGACAAAAACGCAAACAATTTTCTATGCCAAATACATTGCAAAAATTGATATAAAATAAAAATTAACAAGCTGCTCTGAAAACTGATAATTAAAGACGAAATATAGTGCGTATATTAGCATAAATATGTTTAGAAATTCAAAGACAGGGCATAATATGACAGCCTCGGTTGATCCACACAGTTAATGTTAATGACAATGAACTAGAGGCTGGTGATTAAAGGTTCTGTTCCTGCAACTAATCGTTGGAAATTTGGGAAACGGTTGAGCAGTGGAATCATTTTCACCTGGAACAGAGCGGAATTGTTTTAGGATGCTAAAAATCGTTCCTAAAGAAATTCAAGGCCAGTTCCTTTATGAAGATTATTTAGATGTGACAATGTCATATTCATATGCTTTATTCTTTGATCTCGAGTCTTTAACTGAGTTTATGAAGTGGAATATATGTGAAAATTTTAAGGACGTTAATTTAAACTTTATTCTTTATTGCTTGGTCTAACTTAAACATCGAAGAGTTCTTAACTCCTGAATATGGCATATCAAACTGCAGAGGCGTGTGCTCTGACTAGTTTTGTTGTTTTATTTTATCGAAATCCAAAACCTCATGCTGCCATCAATGAAAAGAATTTCTTATACAATTTGTCCTATTTGTTGTGTAGAGATTCGCAAACACAATGAAAAATAAGCAATATCACCACAGTTATTGTGTGATGAATACGAAAGACAAGATAGATATTTTCCCAAAGTGGCGGAATAAACATACCACGAAAGGTGTAATATGAATAAGAAATTTTGCTTAAGTTAGAAAACTGAGCAAAGAGCGTTGGTAAAATTAATTTAGTAAATTAAATGATATTTCGAAACTTGGAGTAATTTCACACATTTGTAACATAGATGAAGTTGACTTACGATTCCTTAACCCAACTTTTATTCTCATTAAGTTAAACGGCTGTGTCTGATACTCTGTGAAATATAGTTTCTACGATTTAAATATCATGCCATCCATTTTGTATGTATATTTCCCACTCAAATATAATGGAAATTTAATGATACTCTGCGGCTAGTCCGAAGGCTATTAAGCCATTACAATATCTACATCATATTGCATTCTATTACTTTCAAATTTTGGTATTCACCCCAAATGGTCTGCTCATTTCATCAATGTCTCGGGAACGAGATAATATGTTACGGCTTAGGAAAAAACCCTGAAGAGGATCTTCTGCCTTCCGAAGACGAGAACACAGTAATCTGCCAAACTCTTTCTAAGAAATTTATTTCTTTCCTGGGCCTGACGTCGCGCATTCTCCTGCCAGACTTAGATCTCCTCGGCATCTGAAACCAAACCATTTGCCCCTAATGTGCTCATTTGCTTATTTGATGGTTTACTTTTTTGTTTATTGATTTACTTATTATTTATTAAGTCATTTGCTTATAAACGTACTAACTTAAGTACTAATTAACTTATTCATTGTTTACCTTATTTAGAACCTTATTTATTTCCTTCCCAGTTTAGACTCTACCCTACTCTAACCAATCCTTTTTTTCCACTCCCTAATTACCATTTCTCTGATAGTCAAAACCAATCAGTGCAGTATTAAATAGGAATAATTGTAGCCCACGTTTTTAAAATTGTACTAAAACTGGTTTTTTGAATGTGCCACGATTAGTCATAAAATTTTATTGGGGTAAAATTACGAAATTAACATTTTTTCAACTCGGAGCTCCACGTGGAGTCTCAAAATACTGCAAGAAAAGGAAAACCATTTCTCTACGTGTGTTTGCTCAACATGCGAAAATCCGGGGAAAATTTGCGGAGCGTACATATAAAGGATAATTCATCTCGGATTACGGTTTTAGCCTAGGATTATGGTCTCAAATTGGCAATTTAAAAAAATATTCGTATTGAAATTTTAAAATGATAATCTTAAAATAAA